AAAAAGGTTTCTTAGGGACATACGAAACCTTTTTCAGCCGTACGGAACTCAAAAAAAAGGTTTCGCAAGAGATGGTTCTTCCCGCGGATACACGGGAAGAACCTTTAAACATTTCGTACACCTAAAGAATCGTTTTTTAAGCCTTTATACATCTTTGGATACCTTTGGACATCTCCGAAACCTTTCTGAAGGGTTCGGTAAAAAACCGATTCTTTTTAGAGTATAGAATGAGAGGATAGATATATATTAAGAAGTTGGATTAGGGTTTAGAATAAGGAGTTAGATAAGGGGTTAGGTTAAGGGGTCAGATCAAGGGATTAGAGTTAGAGGATAGATATAGATTAAGAAGTTAGAGTAGGGGTTAAAGTAAGGAGTTAGATGAAGGTTGGATTAAGAGATAGAGTTAGGGGGGTTAGAATAACGAGATAGAAATAGATTAATGATTTAGAGTGAGTGGTTAGGTTAAGGGATAGAATAAGGGTATTAGAATAAGGAGGTACACATAGATTAAGGATTCAGAGCAAGGGGTTAGAATAAGAGGTTAGATTTAGGGATAGAATAAGGGGATAGATGAAGCGGTTAGAATAAGGTGACAGATATAAATTAAGAGGTTAGATTAGGAGTTAGAATATGGGGATAGAATAAGGATCCAGATTAGAGCTTAGAATAGGCGATTAGAAGAAGGCGACAGATATTGATTAGTGAATCGTTTTGTGGCTAGGTTTCGGAGATCATGAGCTTTTTCGATTGGTTTTGACGGTTTATGAGAGCTTGAAAACCATTCTCGGAAACCTATAAAGAGTTTCATATAGTGACAAACCCGGAAACCCTTTATAGGATTCGGAGAAAACCTTTTTTATTTATGCTCTATAGAGATAAGGGATAGGTTTGACTAATGCCACACTTTATCCGTAGGACTGAACCATTTTTATTAAAAAATCATAAATGATTTTGTTCCTTTTTTGTGGAACCTCTTTTCAGTCAGAACCATTTTGATGATTTCGGGTAGTATCCAGCGTCAGAACCGTCAAAAAGGTTCTGGGCAACTCGTTTTTTTTGAAAATAGGTCATATGTATGTTTTCCTGTAAGAATAGGAATTGTTAGGAATAGATTTTTTAAAGTTCTTCTTACGAGAGAAGATCCCTATCTGATCCATGCCGTTTTCAATGATATTTTGTCTATATGCCGGGATCATTATTCTAAGAAGAATCTTAAGAGAGTTTGGGCTGATGGTGCTTCCTTCAGAGGCTATGACCATTTTACTGATTTTTCGGCCTATGCCAAGATATTTACAAAAAAATTGGATGACGAAATTTTGATCTGAAATTTTGCCCATATGTAGGCCTCATGGTTCTTAGTATATGCTAAAAGTTTCAGCGAAAAATGATGTTTCGTTCTTGAGATAATGGATGTCCAAGAAAACTCAATTTTTCTGAGCTCTCTGTGAAATGTGGGTATTTCTTACAAATTCATTATCTCGAGAAAAAAACACCTTGTTTCACTCAAACTTGTAGCGCTTAATAAGGGCCATGCGGTCTACATATGGGCAAAATATCAGGTCAAAATTTCGTTATCCGATTTTTTTGTAAATACCTTACCATAGGCCGAAAAATCAGTAAAATGGCCATAACCTTCGAAAGTAGCACCATCAGCCCAAACCCCCTTAGGATTTTTCTTAGAATAATAATCCCAACACATGGACAAAATATCATTGAGAACGGCGTGGATCAGTTGGGTATCTTCCCTCTCAAGTTATAATTCACATATACTGACGTATATATGTCTTAATATAAGCTATAAGTGTAAATAACTAAAACTATGTCTTCGTCCAGGATTGATTTTATGCTGAGATTTGTCTTTGAAATCTCCATTTATATTCGAACTCGAATTAGGCAGCTACTCATATAATTTCGATGCCTACTTCACACTTACATCCTCATCTACACCATGAAAATAGTTATTGTATGAACGTCGATTTTTTTCATAAAAAATTCGAAATTAAATGATATATGATTGTTGTCTATACGTTAATGAGTTAATTTACAATGAATTAACGGTTAACTAAAAACCGTTAACGTTAATATTAACGTTAACTAAAACGTTAACCGTTAATATTAACGAATTAACGTTTTTAGGAAAACCGTTAACCGTTAATATTAACGGTTAACTAATACGTTAACGTTAATATTAACGGTTAACGGTTTTAGTTAACGTTAATATTAACGTTAACGGTTTTTAGTTAACCGTTATATTAACGAATTAACTTTTCTAGGGAAACCGTTAACTGTTAATATTAACGGTTAACGATTTTAGTTAATTAACGCCGTTAATTAACTCGCGTTAAATTAACTGGTCCACCCCTAATTAGGAGATACTTTTGAACTTGTCTCCTGACGGCGAGATAAACAAGAAGAAAATAATTCACTTTCGACGAAATGCTTTTCTACAAAAAAACATTTCGACAAAATGTCTTGTCGACGAAATGTTCTTTCGACGAAACGTTTTTCGACGAAATGTTCTTTCGACGAAATGTTTTTCGACGAAATGCTTTTCTACAAAAAAATTTCGACAAAAAGTTTTCGACAAAGTTACTTCGACGAAAAGTCTGTCGACCAAAGTGTCATTCGACAAACAACATACCATTCTAAGCTGAGTACTTGACTATTTGCAGTAGATTAATGTTAACGAACTGTTGAGTGACATGACCAACACGTTTTCAGTCATCTTCTTATTAGAGATGTTCCTGTTGATAAAGTTTTTCTAAAGAGGTATCACTCTTTTCATCGCTTATACCTAACAGAAAAAAAGCACAGGTACTTTTCAAGCATATAAACATACTAAAAGTCCTCGACATTGGATCTTATTGTATAATAGAGAACACATGTTTTTTTTTGCAATATGGTTCTGTTCTTAAAATATTTTACTTTACAAGTACATATTTCAAATCTTCGTTGGATGTTTTGACCAACAATGATTTGTTTTAATCTGTTGCTATCGTAATCGGTAGCCCTTAATAGAACATCTGTTTTATAATGTGTAATGTAGCCAGATCTTACGGCTTTGTCTCAATAGTACAAAAATGATATATGTCAAATTTTCGAGGAAGAAGAAAGTAAAATAATCATATAAATATACATTAAATAAAAGAAAAGTGCCAACTCTCTATAGTCGTTATCTAGTATAACTATCGAAGAGCCAGCCCTAGAAAAATGACGCTTATAGTTCCTGACAGCGACAGAAAAAAAGATCTTGAGATTAAAAAAAAATTTGTGCAAGTTTTTTTGCAAACAGCTGTATGTTGAATACATAAATTGTCCAATAATATTTTCTTTTTCTTCTTCATTTATGCATACATCTGTAGTTAATCCTTGTTTAGCATAATTTTTCATTATTTCATCGAATACTAATTCTTTAATGAGCTCATATAAATTTATAACATATTTTACTTGAATACTACCAAATGGTTGCTGTTCATTGAGAATGTATGAATGTAAACGAGAAGTATTGTGTATTAAAACTTTAACAGATTCCTTTAGTGTAGATCTCGGTGGTCGCCGTATCATTAAAAAAAAATATGTGAATACATAATCTAATGAACCTAAAAACTGTCGTACATCGTTCATTTTTGTATTCTTTAAGAGTTGTTGAAGTTTCGTTTTTTCATCGGTTGACATTTGCTCCTGTTTTATGTTTCGTCGTATATCATTGAATAATGATACTTCTTGATGGTACAATTCAAATTGATAATTAAAATAATTGAAATTTTCCGTATCAATCGATCGTATACGATTTATTCTATTACATAATCTAGTTTCAATTTCATCATAATCATAAATTACTTCTTTTGTTTTACCATATTCATAATTAATAATATAACCATTTTCTTCTCTTAATATCGTATCAATTATTTCAGGTGATATTACTAATAAATGTTCTTTAGTAATTTTTTGTATTTCAATTTCTGGTTGTTTTCGTTCAGTATCATCGTATGGTACTTGTGGATTAGTTATATGTTTGTAGAAATTTATAATGTTGTTTTGAAATTTAGCTAATGTATGTAAACAACCAAGTATTTCGAAACTACTATTATCTGTTGATCGATTCAATAAGAAAAATGCTAATTTTCTTGATTTAGAAAATTGTTCACTAGATTGTGTACGATCTATTTTAATGTGAGTACAATCAAGTTGTACATCATTTAATTTTAATCCATACCATGCTTGACAAAATTGCTCAAATAGCGAAAATAGTTTTTTATCATAAATATCACGTTGAATATAAAAATCTAATTCTTTTGTTGATGCTTCATTACGTAATGGGTGTGGGTGAGAAAACAGTCACACCCACACCCACACTGTAGATTCTCACTTAATAGACTAAAAATTGCCTAAAGCAACGACAGCAACATTGAAACATGCAGAGTAAGACATAGTTAGGCAGTTTTTAGTCTATTAAGTGGAAATCTACAGTCAAAAGTGAGATTGTCAATGACTAAATTTGATCTTTTGCACTCTAATACCTATAAAAGTTCAGTGTCTTGAGTGTGCTCTCTCACAAGTAGTGTTGATTGATTCTGTCTAATTTAAAATCCTATGGGGAAGAATATGGTGTGGGTGTGGGTGTGGGTGGGTGTGTGGGTGTGAGTGTGTGTGTGGGTGTGGGTGTTGGGTGTGGGTGTGGGGTGTGGGTGTGGGTGTGGGTGTGGATGTGGGTGGGGGTGGGGGTGGGGGTGGGGGTGGGTGTGGCTAGAGGGTGGATGTGGGTGTGGGTGGGTGTGGGTGTGGTTGTGGGTGTGGGTGTTGGGTGTGGGTGTGGGTGTGGGTGTGGGTGTGGGTGGGTGTGTGGATGTGGGTGTGGGTGTGTGGATGTGGGTGTGGGTGTGTGGATGTGGGTGTGGGTTTGGGTGTGGGTGTGGGTGTGGGTGTGGGTGTGGGTGTGGGTATGGGTGTGGGTGTGGGTATGGGTGTGAGTGTGGGTGTGGGTGTACTGTCTTGTCTACATCTACATCCACACCTGCGCCCGCACACCCACACTCACGTCCACATCCTTTCGGGTTCAAAGTCCAAGTATTCTGTTTTGGAACAAAAAGCTTTTTGGGCAGCTTAGTAGTTTCTCATTAATTATTTTGTGAAAAGTTGATGCGTAAGTGAACTCCAAATTTGGAGTTTACACAGTTTGGAGCTCACTTTTTTTGACCGACGTTTTCCTATTCTAAGCGCTGCATATTCCTATAAACTTTCTATCCCAACTATATTCTATTTTATAGATTTTATGCATTATACAAAGGTTTTTTAAGCTTCGGTATATGCTGTCGTCAAATTTTCTTCATTATGCTTCCATTTATTATATTAATTTTCAACGATAATCGAATACAAAATCATGGCATATTAGAAAATTTCCGTAAGGATGAAATGTCATTAACCATGTTACTGCTGAATTCTGTTGTTTCACTCGACTCTCCATAGACTTTTTCCTAACATACAAAATTGTAGAAAGTTAAATGACTATTAGCTCCGACAATGTAGCAGTGATATCTTTTTCCCAAAGTCTGATTTCACTATAATATATAGGGTAACTTCTTATTAGCCAGAAAGATATTAGAATTATCTCGTACCCTACAAGATTGTGATTCATACGAGTGGGATGTGAGTGTGAGTGTGGCTGTGGACGGATGCATGTAGGTGTCGATATAGGTGGATCGCTTATCAAGCACATGAGCTTCTACAACCACACTCACACCCACCTCGTGGTGATCGTTAGTTTTGTCAAAAAATGGAGTCTAGTTTGCTTACTCTTCTCCGCTTCATCACATCAATAATTTAACAGCTTTTTTCTTAGAAAAAAAGGGCGAACCCGGTAGCCTTCCTTTTTGTTTTGTTTTCTGTTATATTCGCCCGAGATTTTAGAGAAACAATAGAATACAAAATGAACACCTTCCTTCCATTTTCTCTCAGTTTGTTTTTCCAAATATTGTTCGTGATTTTTCTGGGAAAAATATAAAAGATTAATTTTCTTTAAGCTCTTCTATGCATTTTTTAGTTATTCTAGAAGTGATCGCACATTTCCTAAAAACAACAATCCTTTAACTTACTTAGGGCATACCAAAAGTAGTAGCAGTGAGGCTTTAATACTATATATTAACATCTTAGCAACTTTTTCTCTTTACACTCTGATCGAGAAATAAAAAGTTGTATTTTTCTATGCTGTTTGATCATACTTTGATTAATATTATAATAATAAAATTTTGAGAAAATATGTTTTGTTCGTACGTGTAATGGTTCCATGAATGGTAGTAAGTATTTTTTTTGGAATAGCTTTCGACAGAGACAAGAGAGAGGACTGCGATTTTCTGCTTTGGAAAGAGGGGATGAAAATGCATCGAATCGTATGTAGTAGATTTTTCCAGTGTGGATTTTTAAATTGCTTCTGTTCAATGTTCTAAGCGCCCATAAATTGTTTTTTTTTTGAAAAAAGAAAAAGCACAAAAGTGAGCTTTTTTCGTGGTTTTTGCTAGGAAATCGTATTAGAGACTCAACTAAAATGAATATTATTTATCTCCATCTTCCGCACTTTGTAGATCTCCGATTTCTGGTTTGAATTTATACTTGGTAATTGAAAATTCACTGTAAAGAACTTATCAGGTATGTTTGTTTTTAAAAAGGACTATTGAAGGCTCTACAAAACAAGATCAGGAAACCCAGGGATATGCAATTTGTTGTGCCTTCATCTCTTACTTCCATCGGTAAATACCGAAGCTCTCTGTCTTGTTTCTATCGAAAGTTATTAAAAAAATACTTGCTACAATTCATAGAATCGTTACACATGTAAACAAAACAGATTTTCTCAAAATGTTATTATCATAATATTAATCGAAATATGATCAAAGAGCATAGAAAAATAGAACGTGCATTTCTCTATCAGACTATATACAGAAAAAATTGCTTAAAGATTAATATACTGCATTAAAACCTCACTGCTGCTACTTTTGGTATGCCCTAAGTAGTTTGGTGTTTGTTTTTTTCTAATAACTATTCTCCTACGTCGTCCACTGTTTCCGATAGAGATATGAAAATGTGATTTGGTATTAGCTTTGCTTTTACTCATTTATCCTACAAATTCTGGAGAATTTTGTAATGAAAATTAGAAAACTAACTTTAGTTCTTTTCTTCATTCAGTTACTATGTTCGTTCTTGTGTCTTATCAAAGCATTGGAGTCAGGTAACTGCAGTTTATTGGATTTTCTTCCTTTAGTTAGGTCGAGTGTTGCGAATTATCATATTGAAATGAATGGAATAAGTCAGTTCTGTTCTGCTCCATTAATTTCAGCGATAATTCTCCGAGACCTTGTGGTAGAAACCGAATCAATTATCACGGCTCTCTTGATTTAGATTGAGCATGCATTCGACGAGAGCGGGCGCTGAGTGTATTGTCCTTGTGACGTCTCTCACTCCAAAATCTTCATTCACATTCACCCCCTGCAACTAAGTGTCTGCTTTGTTGTAATTTGCATGGAATGATTTTTAAATAACAATTCAAAATCTTCTTTCATATTGTGTGAGAAAATTTTGCACAACATTCCACAATTCTGTGCACATTGTTGACAGGAAGCAAAATTGTTGTTGAGATAGTTTTGACCAGAACGTGAATATGAATGTATCGCATCAAAGATGTGTCACTTGGTGAAATTATAACTTTGGCAGTGTGTGGATAGGGCTCGCGTTTTGGTTAAGTATGATTATGAAAAGAACAACACCGGTACTAGGGGTGGCACTTTACTTTCACTTTATAAAATAAATGTAAATGAATCCTTTACTCTTAAAAAATAAAGATAAATGGATCCTTTA